TTGCTGTGAAGTTTACGTGTAAAAATGTGGTCTCACGGGTCTCACGAAAACAGGCTGGTCTCACGTGAACCCAACCCTATATATATATACACACTGGAAATGAGTGCAAAAAAACATTTAAAGTAATATTGACATTTGAGGAGACTTTTTGGACATTAAAGAAGCAGCAGAATGGGTTTGGATTCATAAACCTATTTATTAGGAAGTTACTACGCCTGCCGCTTCTCCACTTTCCACGCTTCTATCTCTCTCTCTCTTCATTTTCTATAATCTTAAATCTTATATTTTTACTCAATCATCTTATACTTTTACCAACTGAACTACATATCAAACATATATATATATATATATATATATATATATATATATATAGATAGGGCTAAGATCAAATGATAATCATTCATTTTGTGTTAACTTTGTTGACCTATCTTAACCAATCAAATTCCTTCATTATTGTAGGTTGGTGTATTGTCCAATTTTTACTTCCAAGGGTAGTTTAGTCATTTGGTTACATATGTAACCCCCAAACAATTAATGAGGGGTTACAAAAAATCATATCCCAAGAAATAATCATTTATTTAATTAATATATTTCTTTTTAATCATTCGACTTACATGTTCATTATTGTAGGAAAAAATCATATCCCCAAAAATCATCATTCATTTAATTAATATCTTTGTTTTTAGTATTTATATTCCATGTTCACTTTTGTATGAGTTTTAAATCGAATAAGAAACACGGTAATAATGATATTCAGCGTCGATCAAGCTAATATGGATAAATGTAAAGGAAAARAAATTGATAACAACGTGGAGATTACAAATGTTTATGAAGACAATCCGAGTTCGGGGTCGGGAAGTCATGAAATCAACCAAACCGAACGTCTTGGTAATAGATTTTTTTTTTTTTTAATATTCATATTGATCGAAAGAATGTTGTTGTCGATGTGTTGTGTTTTTTATTGTTCATCTCATATTATTTCTATGATATTCTATCACCATGGTGAATTTTCATCTCACGTATAAAAATCGTTAACTATGAGTGGTCAACTAATTATAAAATTCATTTATGTTCATAT